TAAAGGGCTGGAAGTGTACCTTTGATAAGGAACGATGAGTGTCCCACATTACACGCATCCTCCCATATCATATCCGATCTTACGTATTTGACCATCCACTTTGGAACTTCTCCACCTTGGGTCTAGGCAAAAATGTCCATTCCCCTGGTCCAGGACCATTTCCTTATACCATGCCAGGTGGATATGTGTCACTAAGTGTCGGTGCAATGTGAATCAAAAATTTCCTTCACATTGCCGACACTTACCAGAAGCGAATTTGAAATGAGTTGATTACGTATCGTGAGCGCTTTTATTCTCACCTTTGGTATTGGAAAGCACAATGGAGTGCCTCAACCCTAAGACAGGCTTGAAAAGAAGAAGAATCTCACCTTGTCCACCTTAATGATCAGTTTGTCATTTTCTCGGGATTTCTCTTCGGACAAAGCTTTGTAGGAGCCCATTTGAGTACGTAACGTCTGAAGAAGGAAGAACAAGGCTTCTATAGTGCAGAAGGACGAGCAGGAATAAAAAAACAAGCACTTCATGAATATATTTTCATAGCAGACCTTATTTTTTCGTTGTTCATCCTCAAGCAGCATTCCATGCTCGACATATGACTTCACTTTTTCTCGCAGAACCAACAGCTGTAATAAGCCATGCCTTCCAACAATCGAACGATCAATCAGCTTACAAAAAGCAGTAATAATAAGCGGACATCTTGGAGAATGCAATTTTTTCAAGCGCACTGGCGTTTCATCGAGATATTATCTATGATGATGATGGCAATATCGCCACGGAACTTTAAACATACCTCTGCGCGATCGTTACTGCTATCCTTGGCCTTATTCTTCAGTTGTTCGTAGGCCTGTTGCAATTTTGCATGATCGGCTTCTTTCACGCGCAATTCTTCGACCTCGTCTCGGAGACGTCGAAACTCATCTTCAAACGGTCTTATCTGTCCCACCTATAACAAAAGGCAGTTTTGATGAAAAACTCTCAACATCATTAAGAGCCGTTTACCTTGGTTTTAAGATCCTCGTTCTCTTGCGAAACTGAATCTATCTTCCCTTTGAGTAATTCCATCTCCGTTTCTGTTTCAATTACTTGCCCTTCCAAGCGCGCCTTCTTCTCCTATCACAAAAAACCTCAGCTAGCGTGTAAAGGAAATAGAACTCAAAACTCACTCTGAGATCTATGAGATCCTGCTCGAAAGCTTCTGCGCTTTTTCCTTTTGTCAATTCGTACAACTGCTGACGAGTCTTTTCTAGTTGCAATTCCAAGTTGTCACGATCCTGCCGCAACTCCGAGTTCTAAGAAAAAACTGATTTAGAGGAAAAATCTTATGGGAAACTAAAAAAGAACAAAATATTTTTAATGGCTGGCACAAAAGACACGATC